ACAAGAGTGAAGAGAAAATGATTTACAGTTCCTAGGTGTAATTGGCAGGTTTACTGAATTCCGACTGTTCTTGGGAGCATTCCATAAGCAGTCAACGACTGCATGATAAATCAAGATTTGTATTTGTTAATAGGAATTTATTTGCCCTCCCCACAGCCAACTACATGAATTTCCTCTAAGCATACTCTAGATTTGCCTTTTTAAATCCCTAGTGAAATCTTTTCCAAGACTCACAATTCACTTATATTTCGAAAACATAATCTTCAGAAGGGGATAGGTGAAGTGAATGTAAAATTAGCTAAATTGGAATTTAATGTCTTGCCGTTGAATGAAACCATACATGGACATAAAGGATATTAAGGGGGTTCACTTAAAATACGTTCGTGAGTTAATTTTTCTGTCGACTCCAGTTAAAGTAAAATGTTCCACAGACAATTTGAGACAAGTTCACGATTGATGGCATCGCAGAAATACGAGGCGTAGTAGAGATGGAGGAAAAACCATGCACTGCCAAGGATATAATTAAACTAGTAACCGAAAAGGGTAAAAAATTGATGGTAACTGGTAGCTTTGAAAAAAAAATCAAAAATCAATTAAAAAAAATTAAAAAACTGCTGTGACAAGTTTTGGACACTCGGAGCCTACCAGAAACATTGATCCTATCCTTTCACCAGAGTGAAGAGCTTACGGGAGGGCTTCAAAAATGAGAGAAGTTGGAAAAAGAATTGCGTTGCGGTGAGAGGACGCCAGTATGACCACAATAAATTGGGAATTCGTCCAATTATTCCAAACCATCCTTACCTTCGTCTACCTCCACTTGGACGAATTTATTAACTGAATGCGTTTGTTGGAATGACAGTTATGGGCTCAAGCCTTGAGATAGTTAATTCTTCGAAAATTTTTGATGGGAATAGTAAATTGTCTCCATTTTAGCTAAAGGGGTCAGAGACAGAGTCTATTACCGTGTGTGTCTACTCTTTAATGCTTGGCGACCGAAATATCGCTTGCCTTCGCTACAAAACGTGATTTGGGCAGTTGTGCGACAATCAGCACATTCGCTAGTTTTACCCTTAATGGAGTCAACTTTAAAATCTTTGCTGTGGTTCTTCGGACTATGAATGTGTTCTTCTATGACGTCCATTTTTACGTTTCAAGGCAGGTACTACACTTGACTTCAAATAAGGCAGCTCCTTGATCGCAAATGTCTCCAGCTTATACGCCCAGTACGTCGTTCTCAGCAAAATAAATAAATTTTTACCAAATCAGAGACATCGTTTAAACTAAAATTAACCAGTAGCATAACTTTTGAGAAGAAAAACAACCAAGTTAATGAATGAAAATTGATGTATCAGAATTTTGCACACCACAGCTACAAAGGCAACTAACTGGCTGAGACTTGTCACTCCTTCCCATCCTTTAACGGGCCTCCATGACTCACAAGTGCTTGTTGCGGTGACTGTGTCAAAGGAACTTAGGCCTTTGTTTTTCCTGCTTATCTGTAGGGACTTATGTTTGAAGGACTAAATAACTACATATTTGGGAGATAGCGTCAGCGCACGACAAAATGGGGCGTCACAAAACAAATACACATTCACAAAAAGTAAAACAATTCTTAAAAATAATTGGTAATATCATAATAGCAGGTCCCCTGATAGCAAACACTTCAAACAGTACAGCATTCAGCTGTGTACATCGAGGCTATCCGCATCTTGTGTGGCGGGAGAAAACCGACTTGCACTGACGAAAGTTAAAGCTAGTACTGTGATCGCCTGGAAGCCATCTGAATGGCCTCTTGTGAACTAAATGGCTACTATGGCCTCTGTGCAATAGGAGTCACAAAATACTCCCATCACCTATGGAGTAATAGAGGATTGTACTTTGTTAATCAGCATCACGGAGGGCTGTTCTCCGTGCGCATCACCTATAGCAACGTCAGGGCGTGCGAATGGCAGGAGCCTCGTAACCGCTATTGCACTCTCCACACGCTATCATAGGTAAATGGTTGATCTACGGATACATGGAACTGCCTAAATTGCGGAATAATTCAGAAATAGTATTCTACAGTCTTCTCATGGCTTAACGTGTTTGCAAATCTACGCGGCAACTCTTTCGAATGAGGTACCACATGGATATGAAATTCGAAGAAGGGCTTACAAATCTGACCGATTTTCGCCAAAATTATTCCAAACCACCTTTTTCTCGGTGATTCGTTTTGATAGATCAACAAACTTAATCATCCACCAGGGTTCCAGTTCATCTGAATCGATGTAGAATTCCTAATTTGGAAGATTTCTTTGGCGACTTAGTGCAACCTACTAATTTCACCACGAAGTAACCCTAAATTTGTGAACTATGAAGGAGCAAATGCAAGTGGAACGCGATAATGGTCAAGGCACATCATTTCATCTAAGAGATAGTTGCGATTCCCCGGGCGATTGTGCGCACTGATGCTTTCTATTAAAGTGACTTAAACAGTTCGACTAAATTAGGAATTTTTACCAAAAATCTAGGCATATTACCGAGGCTTTTGACAGGTAAATGGCCTTCTTAAGTTAGTACCCGTATGCAGCGCCCCGAGACTTCCTTGAAGACCAAAGAGGACATAATACTGGGGAGGGAGACTGAAGTAGGCTTCATCCGAAACCCGACTGAAGCTCAAGTTTTGAGAGTCAGTGTAAAAAATTCGCATAATGACTTTAAATAATCCAGCATCAGCGTTAGCTCCAATTTTTAATCCCACAATCCATATCTTTTCTGCATCCCACCAATCACTACAAAAGTGAATCAGCCGATTCTGGAAAAGTTGTAGGGATGAGCTTGAATTTGTATACGTATTGCAGCTGGTTTTAGCCACATTTCCACCGCCGTGTTCGCCACTGGAGCTACATACATATGAGACCAAGAGTTTCCTTTTCAAAAACCGAACATTTGCATATGCCAGTTGCATTTACTTAAACTGTTGTCATAACAGGACAAAAAATCTGGTGGTAAGACCGTCGAGGAGGTTGGTAGCACACCGTGTGCCGACCAGGTAGGTACTCTCAAAACATTGTGGCATTTGAGCCTACATTTGGAAGTTACTGTCATTTGATAGCCTAATGTGTTGTTCAAAAAGCATAAGAACGCCACAGTACTATTACAAAGTAGGATTAATTTTGTACCGTATTATTACGAACTCGGTGAGCATTTTCGAAAAAGTGTGCTAAAGCAAACTAATGCTTTTGGCATGGAACAGTAGAGATCATTTTGTCAAATTTCTCAATATTCGAGAAATATTCCATCACATCCCGGGGTAAGTGTGGCCATCCACAACAGGACCACAAGTAGACATCTTATTTTCCAGTTAACCTGAAGTGTGGCACGCTGGAACTAGTAATAAACTAAAGCAGCAAGTCCTCACTTTACTCCCCATCAAAATTGGAACCAAACCACTTTCCTCTGATGGTGCACTTCAGTGAACAGGTAAGCCACACATGCCACTAGGACAGCAAAGAAATGAGAGGTGCTAAACGATCTTTTCCGCAAAGTTCTCTTATTCCTTTAAAAAAAAAGCACTCAAATCAAAGGGAAAACCAACACAGTAGCAATAAAATCCTCACCCGAAGAGCACTGTAACATTATTTTTGTCAATTAAGCTGCTCCAAAGCTAGACCAAACTGATATCTCACAACTTGAATAGCAAGATAATTGCTACTATACGCATAAGATACTAACTTCATTGAGGCCTTTATTCTGAGGATTAACCCCATGGATAATAGCCGTCGACTTCGAGTAAGTTCAAGTGTTAGCTAACAGCATTGACATTCGCAGGACGTTAGTAAACGGTCATATCTCGACTTTGACTCCTGCTCGACTTCAAAGCGCATTCCATGAATATGCCTCAGAAAATGAGTCGCATTTTCTGCCGTATAACTAATGGCTAACACTATGCTGATGCAATGAAATGTCGATCCTCTTCTTTGACCTAAAAACACTAGAAATGACAACCGGAACACGCTTCTTCGCTAGGTTATACGCCACCGTTACTAGTGCATCTAGTCAAAGTGGGTGGAGTTTGAACCGGCAGGGCAGAACCCCGAAACAGAAGGAACGGATAGATAAACGTTTGCCGGGAAATCAAGCGTTCCTCAATCTTTTACTGCTTGTTGCAAATCAAATTTAGGTAAATAAACGAGTCAAACACTCGAAAAGCCTGATATAGCATGCAGCACAACTAGGCAGGTTGATTATAGATGAGAACAACGATATGCTTTAAGATTTGGAATCTAGAAAAAAGCAAGGGTATTTTAGATAGCCATCTGTTAGAAATAGCAATAAGTTAGAGGGAAAAATGTGATTAAACTCACTAATACGAATAAGAGTCTACCATTATTGTTGCTACATCCTCACGATCAACTAAGAAACGTAGTGAGCCTCCACATTCGCTATTTGAAAAGTGGAGAAGGACACCTTAGGCCCAGACGTACTGCGTGGTTTAAGGGTAACACAACGAACATTGCTGAAAACCGGTCAAGATGTGATTTGACATAAAATGTAGGGCTTAGAGGCACAATCGGATTTCAGTAACGAAATGCGTGGCAGACATGTAAATAAATGATACGCCTGCTCAGAAACCCCCCAAAAAACTACTCAGTAGGCTTATTTTATGAGAAGGTTAAAATGAAATGTGTATGCCAGTATCCGATGACACGAACTCGACTTGATAGTAGAACAATCACCAAGGAACCCTGATCACAACACTATCAATTTGCATGAATTAACCTAAAAAATATAGATCAAGGCCATCTGAACGGTAATAACAAGAATAATGAGAAGACTAACGATATGTGAAGTCAGGAATAAATGGGATACAATGGGCGTGAAGAATATCGATTATTATACAACCAACTAAATGAAATGTTGATAGACAGGTATACCATATCCAAGGTTTTAAATAATAATAATACTTATAAACACAAATATCAAAGTTCTGAAAAGCAAGATTTTAAAGTCAGGAGTGGCTAACTTCCCACGGTACTTGAACCACTAGAGTCAACAGCCCCAGTTTCCATCAACGACGACACTTCTTTGCCCTTTTGTCGAGTCTGACGTCCTCGCTCCTGCTCTCGCTGTTGCTTACTATGCTTGATCAGTTCTTTCTGTCGCATTTTGACCATAAGACTCGGGGAATCACGGGCCTGACGTGACATTAAAGAATGCCGAACACGATCAAGAAGAGCACCTTTCTTGTGAGCTGAAACCAATACAATTTAGAAACGAGGACCAGAAATCGGCCCAAATGGGGTTAGCCATAATTATTGAGCAAAAAGATGAGGAAACACGAATACGGAACTAAGAATTCCAGTAATTAAACCACTCAACTACTCAAAACAATAAGTGGCGGTACCGACACCAAAAGGTGTAAAAGTGAGTGGGATACCTCTGCCGTTGGTAGGTATGGCATTATCCGATAGAGCAGAAGTATTCCGAACATTATGTACAGAGTCATCTTCAGTCATACAGCCATCAATAGATTCAAAATCCGATGTATCGAAAGGCAGCCGATCCACGAAAGCTAAAACATCAGATATTTACAAGCGAGTTACGCTGAAACCCTTCATTGTTCGAAGCTTTGTCGAGTATTATCGGTGTACGAACAATACCATCTGTGGGTGATCGCGGGTCGATGTCAAGCAACTTCAATTTTTGCACAGTTGGTGATGAGAAGAACTCGCCACCTCCATGAGTCTTACCAACCGAAGCAGAAACATTGCCCATACTTCTCTCTCGGATTCGGCGCCCTATTCAAGCAGAGGAGTACCGATTAAATAAAACAGTGAAATTTGCTTTAAGTGATCAAATATGCAACTAGATAATTGTCAAAAGAATATTTGCAGAATGTGCAGGGTATTAACTCTGGGCTAAATAAGGGAGCATAACAAGAATAGGAGTGTTGTTGTATTAAATAAACTACTTCTGTAATGATAAAACTGTCTGTGATTATTAATAAAAAACGGGTTTTATTTTTACATGACTTTTTAAAATTATATGGTGCTTTGTTTGCACTGATAGCACCTATTATGTGAGAATAATAATTATCTCGAGAAAAAACCTCCAAAAGCGGTAACAATTAATTTTAACCTTTCTTCATACCCTTTAGGCGACGAAACTAGTTTGACTAAATTACACAAATTGCTTAGTGTCAACTGGGGATAGATGCAAGATCGGGGAGATTTGGACACGGAACTCCCTTCTGGTGTCGGAGAAATTGGCCATTCCGCAGTTACAAAGCCTGATTCAGCCTCTTGCTTCTTCCTTAAAAGATCTATTAAAATAGCAAACGTATTACAACGGAGGTCAGTTTCTTCGCAAAAAATTGGAATTTTTTAATAGATTGGCTTTCGGATACATTATGGGACTCCTGCATTACGATCAATAGATATGGCCAATTATTGTAGGCAAATAGTGCATCAACCACAATATCTTGGCGCAAATTGCAACGCCTATAGACTTTGCTTAATTTAAAAGATGCACTGTGGCGTCCCGCGACTCCTTTAAGACAAAAGAAGGCACAATACTCGGGCAGAATATATATTTTCGGCACTGAGAACGTGTCTGGGCTATTGGCATGGCCCAAAAGGCCAACCCACCCGGCGAGGTACAAGGGGGCTAATTCCAAGTACAAAAGTGGCGCCTCACCAGAACCGAGGGATAAACCACTATCGTATTACAGCACTGTTTAAGCTGAGTATATGTCGTTCACATACAGATGGAATGGTTGCTAGTGTCACAGTTTGAAAGCTAAGATGCTTAGTGCTGGTGCAAGATTAGCGTCCTTAATTGGCTAAATACTAAGAGTGATAGCCGTGAAAGCAATTCAACATCACAACCCCAATAAGGGGACCTCCTTGCCATCCTTTTCCCAAAACTCTACCAGCCTTTATACAAATGAATTAGTTGTTGCGCTGTAAGACCTGCTTTTAAGGATGACTGAGGACATAATGCTTGAAAATATATATGCATTATTTGACGTAGAGTAGGGCTGAGGTACGACGCAGAGCGTCTAGGTAATTTTTTTGCAAAATTCAAGATTTAATTAGTCCTTTTTAGCCTAATGTTCTTCTTGTTCAGTTTCTGCACTATGTGCTTAAATCAGTACAGGGTAGTGCGGTAGGCTTAAAACACACTAGTCTTCTGGTACTACTTCTTTGGCTTTCATCGTCATAAAGTGGTCACGTGCGCAGAGTTTGCACTGTCCCCTTTTTATCTTTTCTTTTAATTTTTGTTGATTGTGGGTTCTTTATTGCTTGTGAAATGCTAATGCACTCATTCCACAACTCCTTATGCCTTATTCCTCTTCCTAGGGTAAGGGGCCTAGAAGCATGTGTTTCCAATTTTCTGGCAACTTATTTTTGGGAATCGTATTTTGCGACATATATGTGTATACATTTTTAGTTTTTACAAATTCAAATATGTCGAATATGTAGCTGTGAAACGATTGACTGATGTGAAATACCTGCGATGGAACAGCAACTTCAGGAGCAAGCAAATAAGATTCAGCGGTATGAAACCAAATTACGAGGTATTTAGTCTTTCTGGACTATGATTTCTTTTTTGCCTAGATATCATTTCTGCATATCAGAAATTACAAACAGAAAATGCGTCCCTCGGAAAGCGGTTACAATTGGCTGAGTTTGACGTAAGTACTGCCTACTCTTGAAAATTCGTTTTGGGTATCGGTGTCCTGTTGCCTATGGGCTACTGAGTCTCTGGGTTTCTAAGTTAAAGTTGGTAACAACTCCTTGTCTCTCTCATGAGTGGTATCTATGTGTTTTCTATTGTATGGTGACCCGTTCCTTCATCCCATTGCACTGTTAGTCCAAAAACTGTGTTACATTGAATATTAGATTTTGCGCTATGCTTGGCGTGGTATCTTTCATGGCGCTGTCGTTGCTCTAGGTATCCACATTACGTCATGAATTGGAGGAGAAAACTCACTCACTTGATGCTCAGTGTGCTATCAGTGCTGATTTAAATGAAAGGATGGCAAATCTGGTAAGTAGGGACAGTTGTGTGCAGTGCAGCGTCAAAGTCGAATGCATATTATATTCCTCTTATCCTCTCCCCTAGATCCTTGAGAGGGATAATTATCGGAAAGAGGAGGAGCAGAACTCGTCTTTAAAACAGCAAATTAGCCAGGTTTTGAAGGAACTCGAAGTTGAGCAGAATAATTCTAAAACTCTAAAAGATGCTCTTTCGGAGGCACAAGAACAGCACGAGGCCTCTACGCAGCACTTTGAGGTTGGATGTTTACTTTTATTATTTAAGTAAAAGTGCTGTATTGTCTTTCGTCTGATTTAATGGCGCATTGTAGACTCGGATATCTGACATTATCTCTACTCTTAAGACCTACCAAGAGATCCACCAAAACGACACTGAAACAATTAATCAACTTCGCTCTGACAGGGGAATCAAGGAAAGCAATGCAGGTTCTCGGGTACTTTAATAAATTCTGGTTCAAAGTTAGTTGTTTGATATCATCTACTATCAAAAGAGCTCCGCTTTAAATTCTGCTTGGTTCTTTTCGTTATGCTTCTATGGCTCCCCCTAATCTTTATCATTACAGGAAAACAATTTCTAATTTCAACAGTTGTGGCCATGGTGTGCCAGTTCCATGCCACTTGTACTATCTTGCACTTATCCGAAGCCATGTGTTCAGTGCTTGATAAGTTAGATGTCTTACACAGCTTGACTGTCTGTAGGTATCTTACGGTACGTGCGACCAGGCGACTGACCCGTTTTAAAATTACTACAAGCAGCCAAACCATTGCCCAGTTCTAAAGTGAATACTCTGAGAGCGCGAAGTTGATTCAAACTAAATCTTACCGTACAGGAAATACTTTTTATACATTTCAGTCCACAGCTAGCAAGGTAATTTTGGCCGACCTCATTTCAACCCTTGTTGACCCCAAGGATAGCGACGCTGAGGCGCCTAAGGTCGAAGATCTCTTCGACTTCATGCGTCAACTTTGGCGAGCTGTTATGAAGATCGGTGCACTTCAGCAACCAGCTGTTGAAAAACAGCTTTTCCAGTACCTCGATTTGAAATGTCTTATTCCAATGGAATCGCTTGATGTCTGTGAGAAGGAAAAGAGCGATCTGCAGCAAGAACTTGAGATTTTGAAGCTGCGTCTTAAATCACTGCAACTTGGTGCAGGGAAGCTTCCACCTCCTCCCTCTTCGGCAAGCTCTTCTCTGTATTTCTTTAATTCTCGACTTTGTAAAGTTTATAAACCATCTGTATTAATCCTTTTAGGTAGTTGAGTCAGGTAAAGAATCGTTTTGTTTTAAGCATAACAATGAGACCTCAGAGAGACGCAATTTGGAGCTCCAACTTCAAGAGGCAAAGGATCAAATTAAAATATTGCGGAAGCAAAATCTTACAACTCTTCTTGAACTTGAATCGGTGAAGAAATCGGTAAATTCTAGAATCTCAGGTGCGTTTTTTTGTACGCTCATCTCCAAAATTGGCTTCTTGTGATTTTGCCACCTCCTGTCCAAATTTTGTGGTCGTAATTTGTTATCCTGTCCATACGCTTACCTCTGTATGGCGCTCGTAAACTCGTTACCTGCCAATTTCTTGAAGCATGCATTTGTAGCGTTTTATCGTATGACGCCTATGTGGAATAGAATTTCTTGTTGCTAGTGCAACTTGCAATCTAGTTCTCGACCGACTCTCGGTTTGGTGTTTAATGTCTTAGCCTGTTTTGTTTTTGAAGGAATTAAAAAATTGAAGTGCGTCATTTGCTTTCCGATGCATTTCTTCGATTTGAAACAAATCTTAATGGTTTTTTAAGTAGACAAGTTCTTTATGCACTTTTAGATTGATTTAAACCACAATGAGTGCAGTTTATCTGATGTTACAGCGGTGGAGGAGGAGGCTGCAAACCGCCTGGCAGAGGCGACCGCGCGTCAGGCAGGCCAATTGATGCGGTTGGAGTCGGAGGCGCGTCGGTATCGGGAGCAGACACTGAACCTTCTCGCAGAGAAGGAGGAGGAGATCTCTGAACTGCGCACCGCCCTCTTCCTCGCTAGCCACGAAACCACTGCCACCTCTCTCTCTCGTCTCCCTACAATCGCCGACCCATTTTACGTCCCATCGACGAGGGACTCGGAGAGGCAGGAGCCCGACTCCACTGAAATCACTCTTCCTGCTTTAAATGAGCAGTCGGCCTTGCGCTGCGGTCTGGTGCACTGCGCTGAACGTCATGGACGACTGTGAGTTCTCCGACGCTACCTTAGCCGCCGCAAATGAGCCTGCAAACCAAGCACTTCTGATCGTCTGATTTCATGCCTGTGGTAAACTTTTAGTGCTCAGCTTGATTTTAAATCCTTTCGAAGCATCTATTTCTATTCTGTGCTTAGTAACGCAGTCCACTATTTTTGCGGTTTTCGTGGGACATTTGGCCAACCAAGGATTTATCACGCAAGATTTATTTAACTCGTGTGAAATAAATGTTAACTTCGAGTTGAATGAAGAATCATTTAGATAAATTTTTGGAGTCGCTATGAGTAACTGATCCATCGCCTCAGTTATTTTTTCGTTTCCTATTTGTCAGTTAACCTGTCCGCGTTACTTTCTCATTTGCGTTATTAAAGTATCATGCAAAACCACTTACTTTCGTGCTGTATCATGCGCACAATTTCTTTGCTAGCTGAAATATTATTTGTGGAGCTAAAACCTCTCCCTTACTTATTAAGCTTAGCCGTTAGGTTTTACGTCCGCCTCGTTTGATGGCATAGGTACATTAAACTAGTAAATGCGGCGCAATTTGCATTTGTTTTCTTATCAGCAATGTTGTGGTCGTCGTTTTTTTGTTTGGCCGTGCTTTTTTGAGCGCCTCACACTTTTGCGGTGCGGTAGAGAAGGCACCTCATTTGCGTGTGGGGGCATGTCTTCAGAGTAGTGCGTTATGCATGCTGATGGTGTTAGTGAGCAGAGCACTAGCTTTGCCGCATTGCTGCCGCTTTTGCAGGCAAATACTTCCAATTGCTAAACCTCCAATCCGTTTGCGCTACACAATGAAAGCAGTTAGGTCGAACTTCCCCTATCTTCCGCTTCTGTCACGTATAAAGAAATCAGATCCCATGAAGATATGAAAACAGACGAGTCATGTAAAATGTTGTTTAGAACGGCAGGTCGGAAGGCAAATAGTAACGCTATAAAGTGTATAAAATCCCACTGATTCATTTCATTGATGAAAGAAAAATTATACGAAAAGGCATTGTCAACGACTAAGGATCAAACTAGGGGTACTGTAATTCGTTTGTAGTTTCTTACCTTATGGTGAATTGCCCCCTCTGCTTACTAGGGTGGTAGAACTGAAGAAGCTTCGTAACAGCAAGCGGGAGCTAGAACAGCGTGTGGAGGCGTTAGAGGCACAAGTGCAGGAGGACCGAAAGGCTGCGCGTGAGGTCACCACGGCGAAGGAGAGCGACCTTTCTTCTTCCACCTCCTCTTCTCATGTCTCGATTCTAGAAGATGTCAACCTGACTTATGTAAAGAACATAATCTTCAATTTCCTCTCCTCCTTCAATACATCCTCCTTCTCCTCCAGAATGGCTGTGGTGAAGGCTCTCTCCATGGCGCTCCAATTCTCCGCCGAGGAGGAAAACGCTATCATCAGCGGCACCATCGGCTAGTTTATAACCACTATTATTCCGTTCAGACCTCGATATACTGTGATTAGCTTTTTCCGTAAATGCTTTCTTTTCAAGTGTTGGAATTTTGGATGATGAATACGTCCTTGTTTTTAGAATTAATCTGACCCGGTTTTTGTAGACATTGAAGAGTGTAGCGCCCCTAGTGGTTTCTAAAGACGTGGTAAACTATGCCAGCATTGAAGAAGTTTTGCTATCACCATTGAAAGGCTAAGGCGTAGCTGGAAGGCCGTCACCAAGACGAAGACTGAACATCTCTCGTAGATGAAGATAGAGGTCGTGCTGCAAGGGAATACAGAGATCCGTTTTGTAGCATAAAAATGGTTTAATCAAAAGGCGCGGTTGTTGTTTCGAACAAACACTAAAATAGGAGTATTTAGATTTTGCAGCTGTTCTAGCACAAGTGAAGCATTCCCCTCTTGTTTGATTGTTATGATACTGATGGTCGTCTCTGCAGTCACTCATCATATGAGACTGAGACAACATGATGTTTGACCTTGTGACGTGGTTATTCCCTGCATAGATCTTTTAAAGTGAAATTTGGATTCCGATCATCAGTGGATAGTGATGTCAACCTGGTTTCCTAATTATGATTCAGATAATTTCCTGCCGGTTCTTTGCGGCCGTCGGTGCCTGGACTTCCTTCGGCCTCGTCCCAGAAAAGTTGTATTGAATTTCATTAGCAAATAGAAAAGAAGCTTATTTTGTGCGTCATAAAGTCGATTATTTGGATTGGATACAAAATTTGCCCCTTTCAACTGTAGTCAGTCACCCACCCAAATTCTGGCGTCGTTGGATTGCGCGACACTTTTGGTAATCCTCCGGGAATGGTGTAGCAGTGTGTGCAACCTCGATTTGATGGTTGTTTTAACTTAGTCATGTGTAGTCATGAATACTGACTGTGGCATGTGAATCTGCAGGAGGTAAACAGTATCCATTGCAACGTAGTTCCGACTGTATTGTTGTTCATCCACGGAGCAATGCTTCCTTCAGTGATCCTGACTCTATTGCCGTGGCAATATGCCGTTATGTAAAAAATTACAAAGAAGGCTTTTTGCATTCATTGGGAATGGGAACAAATGTAGACAGTGGGTTAGCAAAAGTAAAATTAAAATATTTCGCATTTTATTCCTTTACCGATGCGGTGCATACCATCCACAGCCTACAACGAATGTTGAAAATCCCCGACTTTACTGTAACTGTGTAATTCAGTAGAGTTAAGGATTTTCAGCAAAATATTTTACCAAAAAACTACTCGCGTTAGTCTATTTTAGCACATTCTTCAAGAGGTAAATGAATATGATGCATGAAATTGCATCCTTTCCTCTCCATGTCTTGTCGCCCATGTGTCCAAAATGCGCACTGCGTCAGTCATACGGATTTTGTTTCATGAATTGGACGTGTTCTCCGGTTTCTAAGCTTTTCACTCCTGAGGACCTCATTTAGCAGATGGCAACCGAGGGAACACCCGTGCAAATGCTTCATGCGCAGGTGGAATGGAAAACCTCACTTGGGAATAAGTCTATCACGAAATGCAATTCCAGCGTTTGAGAAGAATACTAGCAACCAAACATACGCTTAAGCATCAAGAATTCCTTTCATGAATTTTTTTTTACAAATGCTGCTAAAAGGGGGAAGTTTGCAGTCCGCTTTGCGCGTAATAAATCACCATCAACTATTATTTCAACACAAAATGTGGAAGTTTACTTAGAGCATAAAACTCGACAACTATTGGTATCACGGGTTAAGGCCTAAATTTAAGAAGGGCCGAATCACATTCAAGCACCCTCCCATCCGAGCCTCCTCCAGACCGTTAATTTTCTTCTCCAAAAACGACAACTCATGGTGGTCCGATCAAAAGGAGGTGAATAAATGAAAGAGCACTTGGCCAATTTACTTAGGGATGAATTATAGACCAGCAGCATTTTGATGACTAGCATGCCAAATTTTTAGGCACGCAATTCCCCCATCCACGTCAGGTCACATAGCCTTTGTGTTGGGGTGAAATGCAGTTTAACAAACAGATTGCTGAGAAAACTGACAATGTGTCCAACTCTTTCCCTGAGTAAAGTGGCCACTTCAAGTGGGAGACTCGTATGATTTCCCAAGAGTACTTGCAGCACATGTAGAACACCTACCAAGCCAGCAAACAGTTGCCATTCGTTCATCTGATGCAATTTACTGTCTACGATAGGCGTATTAATTTAATTGAACATTCAGCAAGGCAACATCTCCTCTCATCATACCGAAGGCATTTTTACGATCGATTTAAATAAGCCTCGGCCTCTTCGCCGTTTGTGGACTTTATGAGTCTACCCATGCCGAGACTCGACGTGTTGCCGAAGTGGGAAATGGTGCAATCGTAAATGGTAGAATAAAGGATTATTTCACTTTTGAAGTAAGTAAATTAGTGCAATGCCATTGACCTGAGTAACGTGCAAGGTCAAAGCAAAATTCTACCTAAACGATGCGAACAAAGGAAAGAATGTGGATTATGCCTTAAATTTAAGATGAACTGGGTGAAAATAGACTATGGTGTTATCGAAATAGCAAAAGATCCTGTAGAGGTTGGCAAGAATTCGCAGTCAGACGTCAAGGTTACGCAGTAGCCTCGTTACTTAAGAGACGGTCCAGCATGATTCGAGATATCGGTTTCCATGCCAGATATCCCTCTACCTTAACTGATTCTTCGCACTGCTCATGGTATTCCACCAGATCCTTCAGTAAGTGCACTGAAAAGCTTATGCTTTGAGGGCGACTCAACAGCCACATCTCAGCGATTGTCAAAACTTTACAATGTCCAACACGAATGCAGTTTCTATTTGTCAATTTTCTATTAAAAAAATAGAAAGCTGGAAACCCTGGGTGTAACTTTTAACCATGAAAGTCTTTAAAATGAAAGCCTACTAAGAGAACACAGACAACTCTGATGGATCTACAAATCACCTGTAAGGAAGTGCCTCACAGATTAGTGACAAAATATGCGGTTCCAATCTCAGCATATTAATGTAGTACCCCGATCTTTACAAAAGGCCTGAGGGGCTAGTGGCGTGGCCCTGAGGCCGCGCTATCCAGCGAAAGTACGCTTGCAGAACCTTGGGTGCCGGCTAAACCAAAATGAAGAGTTGAACAACCAATCGAAGCATTACATTAATGTGGAATTTAAAGGTAATGGTCTGGAGATTATTTTGTGAGGGCACTGCTAAAATTTTCATGTTGCGTGGATTGAGTCAAATAACAGTACTGAGAGATAAAAATGCTTAGGAATACCGTACTAAGAGAGGTAGTGGCATATTCACCTCAACTGCCTATAATATTGGAAGCATCGCAGCAGTTAGGAAGGAGTTTTTTGATTTGCAAAAACGCTGGCCACTGCATTCAACGATCTCAAAAAGTGAGGACAAAGCAAAGTTGACCACGCCATTTCGCGAGAATCGCATTTGATTTAAGGCGGTGTTTGAAAAATATCTTTTTCGAATCCCCTGTTGGGTAAATACAGGGCTGCCGCAGGGGATTGTGTACAATTTGGAACAGCTCGAGCATGCACCAGACACCGGTTTCACCGAAGCTTCAGAAACGAGAAAAAAGCTGACCCCTAAAACACTCCCGAGTGGGATTTTTTCATTTACACCCTCGTATAAAACAAACAAATACCGTAAGAAAGATAGGGGTTACAACGGTATTTTTTCCAGTGTCCACATAAAATATGTCTAATGACATTTAAATACACGTTGTGCGAGAGTAGCGTAAACACTAATCTCAAATTGGTCGGTGAAACTTCTAGGGAGTAAAATTAAATTATGTGCTTGCAAATAGCTCCTTTATTTTTTACCAAAAGATTCAACTTTGTTGGAATGCCCTTGACTCAATCTAGTCCATATTTTGACCTCACGATTTATGGGTCATTTATGGGGACATTGTAATTGCTTACCCCTCTAGCTGAGTGAGTGGTTAGAAAACAACGAGTAGATACCTTTATCAAGCGCATAATCGCTCCAACTTGCCTCATTTGTACACAATACGTTTAAAAACGCTGTTTCAGCTCAATTAGTTTCCTTCAGACAATCTAGAAAACACCAAAGCCATCGAAGAGTTTTCATTCCTTATTCAGTAAGGCAGCTTGTTAACATAGGAGAGGATTTGCCCAGTGAATTTTCCAGGTTAACGCAGATACTACTTTATACAGCTCAACGAGACCAGGCATGAAGCTGTGTGGCGCATTGGGTGCCAATTGCTCAAATCCCAGACACAAGGTGCATTTAAGTGAGAGGATCTATCACTAATCTCCCAAAGAAATGGATGATGTCAACGTTCCTACCCACGCCTTACCATCTGCCTAATCTAGAAAGTACCAACTAATGCAAAGGAAATTTATCAGACCAAACCGAAACACCAATCAAATCCGCAACAAAATAATTCATGCAGCTCCAATTGACTTTCAGATTACCTCCTCATACAATTATGCAAAGAGTTTTACTACTTACCTACAGACTACTTAGGATGATCTAGTGGGTCCAGAATACTTGCCAATTTAAAATTACCAAGTAAGAGTCGGGCTATATTTTCCCTTAAATTTGGATTTTATAAATTCGGAGTAATCCACTGGTATACTAACATTGAGCGAGACCGCGGCGTGGACGTCTTGGTCTGTTAAAAAACTTGCAATGCCATCGCAGATCCTTAAGGCAGCGTCTTGGAGATGAACTGAGTTTAAGTACCTTCGTTTTAAGAGGGTAGAAATTTTATAAACTCTGCCGAGCACTGTGCTGATACCCGAACAGGCCTGGTTACTTTTTGAAACACTGAACTCAGAGTATTTTGGAGTGGACATGTTCACACCACTAGCTTCGAAGTTCGGACTACTCAAGCTATCTCGAGTTTGAATTCAAGGCGAGCAAGAGGCTGGAGGTTAAAATCAGGTCAACTAAAGTGAATCTGAGATTCCATCAGCCAACTTTCTCTCAATAGATCAGGAGGGTGTC